CACTTTTATCCAGCCACAATGGCATGTCACGTAAGATTTAAAAATAGTTAATAATAACAACAACAAAAGTAACGCACTATCATGAACATAAACATTGAAAAATAAAAAAGCACGTTCAATGAGAAGGCTGACACTCAGACTCATCGATAATTTTTTTAATGTTTGCAGTATAATTTGATACAACCATTCGAATACAATTATCCAAATGTTCATCTGTAAGTCGATTGCGATATTTGTTCTTAATAAACTTCATATTGGAAAAAGAAGATTCACACAAATAGGTTGAACTGAATAATGCTTTCACTTTCAAGGCAACACGGCATAGAACTGAATAGTTGTCTTTACTTACAATAGGCCAGATACATTTGGTACTTCAGACTAACGATTTTAAGGCTAAATCATTTTGAAACTCAATTACTTCCATTTCTGTTGCAGCGATGTCTTCGCCAAAGTTCTGCATAACACAAGTTGCAAACTGTTGGATATCAATTTCCATAAACTTCAACTTGACATAATATACACGGACTTTAGTAAAGCCTTTGATCGAGTGAATCACGATGTTTTGTTGGAAAACATTTATGAATTTGGTTGCACCCAAAGTGCCATGAATTTATTTAAAAGTTATTTAAAAAACAGATATTTTCAAGTTAGATATGATGGGAACACGTCGGGAAAATTTCACGCTGCTTCAGGCGTTCCTCAGGGTTCAAATTTGGGTCCCCTGTTTTTCCTATTATTTGTCAATGACATTACGAAATGTATTAAATTTTCTAAATGCTTATTATTTGCAGATTATCTCAAAATATATAAACAAATACAAACAGTTCGTGACTGTGTGGCTCTTCAAAAGGACTTAGATAATGTTTATGATTGGAGTGTCAAATTTAAATTAAATTTTAATATAAAAAAATGTTGTGTCATGACTATGACCAGACAGAAAGTCTCAGTCTTATTTGACTATCAAATGATGGACAAATCTTTAGAAAGGGTTCACGAGTTCAAAGATTTAGGTGTAACTTATAATAATAAATTTTCGTTTCAAAAACACATTGCTAATACAGTTAAATCTGCTAATCGAGTTCTTGGATTCGTAATGAGACAAACATATCCATTTTCTAATATAAATGTAATTAAACTTTTATATTTTACATTGGTAAGACCTAAACTAGAATTTGCTTCAATTATGTGGACAGGAGAATGTCAAACATCTCTACAGGAACTTGAGAAAGTACAAAACAAATTCTTAAGGCACCTTTATTACAGAAAATATAATAAAAGAGCGGATTATAACTTTGTAAGAACTACACGACTTCGTACTGAATTTAATATAGTGTCATTAGAGAGTAGGCGTAAAGTTACATCTTTATTAATTTTACATAAAATCTTAAATAATACGGTAAATTCCTTTGAGTTGCTATCTTTAATCACATTTAATGTACCATCACGAATAACACGCAATATGCCAATGTTTAATATACCATTTGTCAGTTCTACTTACCGTGCTCCTCTCCTAGAAATGCTTCGCTCAGGAAACAATATTAGTTATATATTGAATATCGACTGGAACCTTCCTTATAATAAATTTAAAAATGTAATTGTGAAATACATATATAACTTGTCTGTATAATAACAAAATAAAATAATGTAAAAATAATACTCTACATATCACCATCTTATTTAAGAAAGTAATGGCTCTAAACGAAAAATTTATTTCCTAAATTTGTTAAAATATTTTTATTTTTAGAAGTGTCATTTTTTGTTTTGAATAATATAGTCCATATTAGTTGGTTAAACATTGTACTTTGAATTGTTATCCCCTTTAGTTTAGTTTAAGTTAGTTTGGATAATGTAAATTTAGTTTTAGCTACTAATTAAGAATTAAAATTGTACAATTTATGTATTATATAATTTGTAAAATAACTATCCTTGTAATAAGGCCAGTAGGCCTGGTTGGGTAGAATAAATAAATAAATAAATAAATAAAGGGTGAAACAACAAACACTAAAGCCATTTCGTTGAAATCCTTAAAATGATTTTTGAAGTTATTCTTCAGGGTAGAAACTATTTCTACATGATATTTGCTGTCATAGGGTTCTAATGGATTTTGAGATATTTTTTCTGAAAGAATAGGAAAATGGTTGGCATCGCTGTTAATTAGGTTTTGTTCCCAAAACTCCAGCTTTTTGATAAATGCTTTTATATCAGAAATCATTTCCGCTAGTTCTTTGTCTCTCCCCTGAAGCTGCAAATTAAGTTCGTTTAATTTCTCTGTAATGTCCACGAGAAAACCAAAATCTCTAAGCCAGATTGAATTTTCTAGTTCCGGAGTCGGTTCATCGCGTTGTTTGAAAAATTGAACTATGCCAGATAGGACATCATTAAAACGTTTCAGCACCCGTCCTCTACTTAACAATCGGACTTCAGAGTGAAGGAGTAGGTCCCCGTATTGACAGTCAACTTCATCGGCCAAGGTTTTGAATAATCTTCTTTGTAACGCTTGAGCTCTAATCTTGTTCACAATTTTTACCACCAGTTTCATAACGTTGTTTAGTTTCAGGAAATTTCCACATAATGCTTGCTGATGGATAATGCAGTGGTAACAGAGAAATTGCGGAAAAGTTTCATCTTTACGACATAACGCCACCAGACCCTTATCACAACCCACCATAGCTGGAGCGCCATCGGTTGTCAAGCCTACCATTTTCGATATTGGAATTTTCTCGAAAGAAATAATATTTTTTAAATGAGAAAACAACTCCTGTCCAGTAGTGTGTCCTTTCAGTGGAATAAACTTCAACAGATTTTCTTTAATCATAAAATCACTAAAAACCTTCCTGACGAACACGGCCATCTGGGCAGTGTCAACGACATCTGTTGATTCATCTAGTTGAAGTGAAAAATAAACACAGTTATCTAAGTCAGTTCTTAACTATAAAAAAATATCATTGCTCATTACTTCTACACGTCTCATCAGTGTATTAGCAGAAAGTTGCATAGATTTTATAACTGAAACTATCTCGTCTTTATTTTTAAACTTGGCAAATAACGAATCAGCAGCTCCTAAAAACGCCTGTTTTATCATTTCCCCGTCTTCATAAGGTTTCTTTTTTTGTGCAATTATCTGGGACACACGGTACGATGCTTCAGTTGCAGCCTTATTTTTGTCGACTGTTCTTAAAAATATTGATTGTTGTCCAATTAACTGCTTTTTTAACTGTTTCAGTTTCTCCTTTCTGGCGGCAGAATGTAGTGGGAATGATTTTTCAAAATTAGAATGTACAGTTTTATGATGTCTCTCAATATTTCCTTTTTTAGCAACGGAGACCGAAGTATTACATAACAAACACACATTTTCATCTTTAACTTCTGTAAAAAGGTATTGTTCTTCCCATTCTGAATGAAAGTGGTATGTCTTTACCTTTTTACAACTGCTTGCCATAATATTATTTTTTGTTGTTCTCTACTAACCCAACCGCTGGACGTTGGTTACGCGTTCAGTTTTAAATTAAGCGCAACGTCGCCGCGCCGTGCGTATTTATCCCGTTCAAAGCAATCCTGATCGTTCTCGAACACTAACGCGCTGGTCCGGCTGGTCGGTTCTAGCCGATTCTAGCTTCTCAGATTTTTGCAGTTTGTATTTTTTAAATTAAAATCGTTGTGAGAACTACCAGAATTGCCTCCGCGAGCTACCGGTAGCTCGCGATCGACAGGTTGGCGAGCACTGCTTTAGAACATAATTTTCAGTTTTCCTCAGATACCTTAGAACATTCTTTAAATGTTTCCAATGGTTTTCATCAAAACAATTTTGAAACTGGCTGAAATAAGTAACTGCAAAGCAAAGGTCAGGCCTTGTACCCAACATAACATACATAAGTGAACTTATAAGTTGTTTGTATGGTACATTTGCAGTAAAATTCTCTTGTGAAATTAGATTTAACTTTGGCTGAATTGGTATATCTAAATCTTTACCATCATTCATTTGAAATTGAACTAAAATTTTTCTTATTAACGTTTGTTGTGAAAGTAACAATACATTATCTGTTCTTTGAATTTCAATACCTAGGAATGCACTTCTATTTTGGACTGAAAGATCTTTCATCTGAAATTCTAAATTTAACTGTTTTTTAAGTTCAATTACTTCATTTATACAATTGGAAATTATTATAAGATCATCTACCCAGATTAACAAATAAGTATTATTTTTAACATATAAACAAAGATCAGCTGAGGATCTATAATAGTTTTTCTCACATTAAAATAGATGTAAGCGGTCATACCAACATTTAGGACTCTGCTTGAGACCATAAAGAGCCTTTTTCAACTTACACACATAACCTTCTTTTACATCTTCTAAACCTAATGGAGGATACATATAAACAGGATTTTTTAGTTCTCCATTGAGGAATGCTGATTTAACATCCATTTGATGGATTATACAATTCATTTCAAGTGCCAAGAAGAATAAATTTCTTCTTCAAAAGACATTTCTTGTTGAAAACCTCTAGCAACAAGTCTAGCTTTCTTTACTTCCTTCCCTTTTATTTATTTTCTTGTAAACACTTATTTTAAATCAATGACATTAGTGTTTTCTGGGGTTACAACTAAGTTTTATTTTTCTCCAATGTTGTTAGTTCTTCCTTAATAGCTTCTGACCATTCTCTGTCTTTTCGAGCAGTATTAAAATCATTAGGAATGTGTATTAGCAAAACTCCTGCTGATAGAGCTGCCATAAAATTCATATCAAAATCTTTATATTTTAATAGCTGTTTAGATTGCCTTTTACTTTATTTGGTTTCTTCTTCATCATCTTCATTTTGATTTTCTTCAATTTCTGTACTATTCTCAGGCTCTACTGTGTCTTCTTCGTTTTTCTCATTACCATTATTTAATATTATTTCTATTATTATTTTATTTAGAACCATATATTTTGGATCACTCTTAATTTTAAACCAGTAAATCACCTCCTTTACATTTTCAATGTTTTCTTTTTTTTGTTGCAGGAAATAGTCTTCACTGGTGACGCTCTCTTAATCCGCGGTTGTGGCAGGACTGATTTTCAAGAGGGCGACGCTGCCACCCTCTACCACAGTGTAAACGATAAGATATTTACATTACCAGACTCGACAATCGTGTATCCAGCACACGATTATCATGGAATAATGGCCACTTCGGTGGGGGAGGAAAAACGGCTCAATCCCAGATTGTCGAAAAGCCTGAAAGAATTCGTTGATATTATGAATAACTTAAATTTAAGTTACCCCAAACAAATTGGTGAGTACAAAATTTCTGTAAAGCTTTTATAAAACAGGTCAGCTTGATTCACAATTCCCAAGTTCCGGTGAAAATCAGAGTCGCAGAAGTAGAGGGGTGAATCTACGATGTTTCTTAATATCTTATTCTGTTAAGATTTAATTACTTTGATAGTGCTTTTGCTGGCATATCCTCACAAGTGAATGCCATAGACAGGTTTTATACCCAGTAATGTAGTTCTATCCAATTTTACATCACGGTTTTCTTAGTTTTTGTGGTATGCATACTATGAAGTATCTTGTCTTTACATAAACAAATTTGATACTCTTGACACTCGGTTATGACATTTCTAGTTGCTGTCTAACGACTTACGACTTCATTCAATATGATCCGCCATCTTTAATTTCAAGTATTGATCTGGTTTGCACATGTTTTAATTTTTCTAGCCTCTTCTTCGTGATCTTTTCCTGTAACTAGAACTGTAAATGTAGGTAGTATATCGGCTCCTATACATTTATTCTGTAATTTGAGCAAAAAATACATATGCGTATAGAAAAAAACGATTTACGAAAACGTCAATTTGGTTCAAATGAACGTAATTTCGGTTTTACGACAAAGCGGAATGATTGAACAGAAAATAATGCCTACTGTAACCATACATATTGAGATTAAACTGTTCGTGAGCAGAGTAATTAAAAACGTTTAAACAATCAATGGAAGAATCAGCATTTATTGATTAAAACATTAGCTGTGTCAATCATGAATATATGCAAGAGGTTAAAATATTGCGGAATTTTTGGTTATTTGGATGTATTGCTGAAATAATGAACAATGGTTTAAGTAATTTGTATTAATTAAATATCCTAATCTTTCTTATTCATCTGATTTATCCTCTGGTGATTTTTTTTTGTAAAAGCAGTTGGTACATTAAATACTTGAAAAGGATCATTAAGGTGATTACAGCACCCCCTTATAATTTTCGGACAAGGATATCTCAAAAAGTAATTTTTTTAAAAAACTAAAATTTTGGCAAAATATATTAGGCAATAATATCTAAAATATGCATATATTTTAAAATTTTAATTCCTTCCAGTTTCCGAGAAAAAAAATCAAAGGGCTTTAAATTTTGAAATATCATAATGAAAATAAATGCATTCCTCAACAGCACTATTCTTAATATAATCCCCAAATTTAAGCTCTTAATCTCTTGTAAATGATTTTTTAAAATTCGCCGAAATTAGTGGCTAAAACGCCTTGTTAAGTGCTATTTTCTGGTTTAAACTGGTGTAAACTGGTGTAAATCGTTGCAAGAAACGAATGATGACTCAGAGTGTACGATACGATAGTTACAGACGCGTTACACTAGAAAAAAGCACTTAACGAGGCGTTTTAGCCACTAATTTCGGCGAATTTTAAAAAATCATTAACAAGAGATTAAAAGCTTAAATTTGGGGATTATATTAGGAATAGTGCTGTTGAGGAATGCATTTATTTTCATTATGATATTTCAAAATTTAACGCCCTTTGATTTTTTTTCTCGGAAACTGAAAAGAATTAAAACTTTAAAAAATATGCATATTCTAGATATTATTGCCTAATTTATTTTGCCCAAATTTAAATTTTCTAAAAAAATTACTTTTTGAGATATCCTTGTGCCAAAATTATAAGGGGGTGCTGTAATCACCTTAATAGACTGATGAAAGTGCTATCAAATATATTCAATTTCAAAGTTTCATATCTATCTATCTATCTCTTGTGTCTTGTGTATTGAAAACCTTGAAGCGTATGATCAAGACTATACTCTAATAGTGGTTAACTAAAGAAACATTACTCCCAAATAATCAGTTTGGATCTGGAAAAGGATATGGAACGATGGATGCTCTCTCTACTCTGACAACTGACATTCAGAACAATTTCTCCCGAAATAACTATCTATCTACCATTTTCATAGATATACAGGGTGTCCCAATAGTGTGTGAAAGTTCGATATATTCTATATTATAGAAAATATCAAACAATGTTATTTACAAAAGTTGTAGATATTATTTCAAAATTATTTTCGATTATACAGAGTGATCCATAACTTCAGAATTGATCAAACCTGTTTTTTTAAATGAACCACCCTGTATTTAATTATAAATTTGAATTCCCCTGACTTTGCCCTTCAAGAAAATACCAATATCTATGAGGTTGTATTGGGTATTTTGGAAGTTTAAACCAATTTTATATAAAAATCGTACTAGGTTCAACCCTCTGTATATTTCAAAAGAAACAATTGAACATCAAAATTTTTTGATGAATCATTTTTAATGATAGTCTACTTTTATAAAAATATACTAATTTTTTCCTAGCGCAACATACGTGTACAGGGTGAGTCAAAACTCAGATACATGATTTTTCAATTTTTATAAATGTAACACCCTGTATTTTATATCACTATTAAAAAGTACTCTAGTTATACGTTCGTTTGAGTTAAATATTGCCTATCCCTAAACACAACAGTTTAGCGAGATTCTTAGATAAAATATTAAAAAGAGTTAATTATAGGGTTGCCATCTTTTTAGAGAAGGGAAGGACATAATTTTAAGAATCAGTAATGATTGACCCCAAAAATATGTGTGGATGCCACGCTCAAATACTTTTATTTGAGCCTTCAAGAAAATAATTTTTTGTATAAACATCAATGTATAATAATAAAAAACGGGTTTATTTTTTAAAATTATATTTTTTATTTGATTGTTGCATCTAACAGTTTTTTGTCATCTTTAATGGCTTTCGCTCAATAAATGTTTCTTATAAAATTTTTAGTTTTTTAAAAAGTCATTTTTGAAGTGCTCTCACTTATTTGGCATTATAAAACTGACGACAGTTTTCTTCAAAATTAAAATCTATCAACAATTCGGTTCTAATTAGTTCTATAGAACACCTGCTTCTTTCGTCTCTTCACTTTCTTCCAGATACTGAAAAAATTCTCTCTTAGAAAGTGGAACTTGCTGGAATGCTCAAAAAATGGGAAACAAAAGACACAAATTTTAGGAATGTCTGGCACTTTTTAAAATATATATTTACACTTATTTGGTGTAGAGTAGTTTTAATACTCATCACAAGAACTTTCCAATAATTTATATGTTCGATTAATTATCGATACTTCATTAAAAACCATATCCATATTTATTTTAAGATTTTCATTTTCAGCAATGGTAAAAAATATTTTCAAAGTCTAAGTATGAAGGAAATCCGTTTTTAAATTTAGTTTAAAAAGTGTAAGTTGCCAGTTATTTTTTCAGAAAAATTAAATCTTCTATTTAAATATTCAAAAAACGATTAAATTAATTTTCTTGTTTTTTTTCTCTATTTCTAAACATTTTAATCTACTTCTGACTTCAAAACTATGAAATTCCCTTTCAAGCCTATCTTCCAAATTTCTTTTCAAATTTTAGATACTTGAAATCTAACTCTAATACCTGCAGACAATTTTCCACCATATCAAACATTCCTTGTGCAATCTCATTAGATTTTTCAGAAAAATTTAGCAAGTAATTTTGCAAGACATCTGCCAGGGTAAAAAACTGAACGAATATATGAAATAGTTTAACGTTTTTTCTATTTGAGGTGTCTAGTTGAATTAAAAAAAAATCTTTGGATTGTGATTTTTTATTAAATAGAGAACTTTTTTTAAAGCCTTTAGATCTAAAACATTTAACACAAGGGCTTCACTTTTAGTTTTACCACAAGATAGTTTTAAAGCCATAGAAGAATCATAAAATAATGTTTTATCCAACTTTAAACCACAATCCAAAGAGTTATACAGGGATTTCATTTCAAAACTAGCCACCCAAAATAACTTTTAAAATATCTTTAAAACAAAAAAACACGTTAATTTATATTTACGCGGGGACACATTTTACAAGTATCTGTAACCGTGCAGTTTCATCCCCTAAGCGGTGGTGAATATCACTTCTAAAATTTTAAATAGAAAGAGGTATCATGTGATAGCTCTTCTTAAAGGTCTCTTTTTTTCCAATCTTTTGACACATTATTTTTTTAAATCGGATTAATTTTTCACCAAGTTATGCCATTTTAACCTTTTAAATTAAAATAGTTATTATTTACATTGTATTTACATTATTAATATTTTATTTGCGTAAGAATTACATTGTACATAATAAGATGTTCAAAATGTCCGCCATTGTTGGCAAGGCAATGGTAAAGTCGCAGCTCGAATTCATCTCGCACTTTTTGAAGCGTCTCTGGTGTAATCCGCTCGCACTCCTCCAGTATTCTACGTCTAAGTTCAGGAATATCGCGAGGTTGAGTTTTATACACCACAGATTTTAGATGTCCCCATAAAAAAAAGTAAAGGGGCGTTAGGTCGGGTGATCTCGCTGGCCATTCTATAGCGCCCCTTCTTCCGATCCATTTATCTGGAAATATGTCATTAAGCCAATTTCGTACAGGCAAGGCATAATGTGAAGGTGCTCCGTCCTGTTGAAAAAATAGGTTTTCTTCGTCTAGTAACAAATTTCCATCTTGATCTATTTGTTTTTCTAAGGATTCGGTTATAAGAGGATTTATCAGATTTTCTAATAAGTTCAAATACAATTCCCCAGTTAAATTTTCCTCCATGAAAATAGGACCAATAATTTTATTACCAAGAATTTCGTCCCATACGTTGATTTTCTGAGGATATTGGCTGTGCTCTTCCCGAAAAACATGTGGATTTGTATTGTCCCAGTACCTACAATTATGTTTATTGACAAATCCATTTAAAAAGAAACCTGCCTCGTCAGTAAAACAAATATTTTTAATAAAATTATGGTCTTCATTTGCCCTTTGAGTCATTAATTCGCAAAATTCTAATCTTCTGTCATAATCATCTTCAGCAAGCTGTTGTAAAAGTTGTATTTTGTAAGGAAATAATTTATTTAGCCGTAACGTTTTATGCACGGAGTCAACGGAAATATTTGTTAATCTAGAGACTTTTGGTATTGATGTTTGAGGTTCCATGGCAAAATGACCTA